TCAAGCGAGTTCGTGTATTATCAAATTACGCAATTGTCTGAACAAAAATATAGACTAGCCATACCTTTCGCCGAACACAACTTCGGCCCCTTCAGACGTAACTTTGTAATAGGCTTGTTCCAAGCGCTATCAAAAACACAACTTAGAGTGTCATTTACGAGCCTGTATCTTCAAATCTGCACTTTTATCACGATATCACATCTTCAAGCAACAAATGTTGGATTGATATTCATTGTTCATTCTTCAAGACGCAGCGATTTCCGATTTCAGATAAAGATTAAAGAATTCAACGCTTAATTCTCAATTAATACATTCGTTATTGTTTGGTTAGTGTATGCCATCACTCGATATATCGGTATCAATTACGAAAATAACAATAGTTTATATTATAAATACGGCAACAGGAACTTCTAAAATTAGCACTAATTATTCTAATTCTGTACTTCTGTCAATCAAAAATTCAAAATCAACATTCTGACCAATCAGGTACCGCCTGCTATGCAGGCTACCAATCAGAATGCTCCGGCACCCAGCTGCCGGGGAGAACTCAGAATGTGTAGTTTTTGGGCAGGCGGTATTTCAAGCTTCCCATTCGCTCGTGCCCGCGAATACCGCCTGCTACGCAGGCTACAAAGAGGCACAATATACAGCAAAGAGGCACAAAATCCGAAGTTAATTAAAGACATGATTAAGGTATGTTCTATCAATTTGATGTGAAATATTGATATTTTAGCGAGTTAATTAAAGAGTAAAATGATCTGATATCAGACATTTGAGTTCCTTTGCTGCTTAATGAGTTAATCCTATTTATCTTAGAGAAAAGAAATTCAACTATCTGGCTTCACAAAGAAACTATACACCAACAATGTGTACAAGGCAATTGAGTGTATCCTTGGAAAATTTTCTCTGAGATTATGCAGTGATGTTTACATGTGTTGTTCAGTTGGATTTGCAGAGGAAGTACTTGAAAGGTCAGTTTTTAAGTGGGTTCTCACTTCTAGAATTTTTCAAAAATATACTATGGTTCTCCCTTTGATTAGCCTGCGGTTGCTTGTGGTTCCCTGTTTGCAAATGACCAACATTTTTCAATTGATGTTTTTATCACTTGAAAGTAATTAATAAAAAATATCCTGTGTTGACCAAAATATTCCAATTCATGTTTTTTATCATTTGAAAGTAATTGTTTTGATTAAAAGAACAGTTTTTGACAATTTTCAGAAAGTTCACATTATTTTTCAAGTTATAGATTTATAATTGTGTGACACAACTTCTAGTTATATAGACTTAATAATCTTTACTATGAGATTGTGTAGACAACATAGTTTGAGTTCTTTTAACCATCCTTGACCTTTTTTGTTCAAGCCTAGTGACTTATTTCAGTGCATGAAAATCAGTTATTTCAGTGCTTGATAATATTATAGTTTTTTAGTCGACCAATAGCTTGTTCTACATAAATCCAAATATTCCCTATCCGCAATGTTTCCTTCACCTGTTCTGATGTCATTTGCATGCCAACTCTTGAACTGGGTGGGATACACAAATCAGCCTGATACATCATGAGTTCTTCTCTTATTTTGAATCCACGATCAGCCATAACTTGATCAAATGGTTGAAGCAAATTTAGAAATCCGCAATCTTGGACAATAAATTTGTCAATTGCTCGTCCACCATAACAAGGCGAAACATAAGAGGGAGCACCATTTGGAGTAATAGCAACCAGGAACTTGATCGTTGTGTGATGCTTGTATTCTGACCATAACGTAGCTTGCACATCCAGTGCACTAGGAGTTTCAGTGAAAACCTCAGTGCAATCAATAATACATCTAACGTTAGGGTACACTCTCCTGAAACATTGTGGCAATTGCCGCCAAATTTGCCCTTTACTTGGCCAATTTACTTTACTTGGCCATCAACCAAATAAACCAATTTAACTAACGGAGTTCAGCGGTCTTATTAATTTGGAAAGCCTGGCTCAACATCTGTTTTTTTATGAATCTAAAACTTTAGAAACTTCAATAAGGTGTAACATAGTTGCCAGCTGCTGGCGACCTTTCAATTAGGAAAGCCAAGTTTTTTTTTTGGTAAACCACACGAATTTACATCGCTGCTATATTCGACGGTCTGTGCCAGTGTGGGTAATAAGAAAGTGTCAGATTGATAGGGATACTACTTAAAAAATCCAAGTTCAAAATTTAACGTTTAGAGCGAAGGCCCTTCGTCGGGAAGTTAATAGTCGTCATAATAATAAAATAACGGTCGCGAAAATTACATGAGCTTTTATACTATTGAATATAAAAGCGATCATGTGACAAAAAACCAAGATGGATTTAGTCAAAACAAAGTATAAACAGTCTATACTGCAGTTGCAAATCTATTCCAATAATATATTAAAGTCCCAACACACAGCCAAACATAATACCAAAACTATTACTCTTAGTAAAATGGTAATAACATGAAGTATCGACAAGAGTCTTTGAAAGCCACTGTCATTTTGCAGGCGTTTTTCATAATTTTTACAAATATCTACAATAGCGAAAATTCCAGTGCTATTCATGTGTGAAGGACAAAATATTGCTTCTGAATGTGAACAAGGCTCAACGGCGTTTCAAAGAAGTATGCTCATCATCATTTCCTGGGTTGGCTATACAGTTGTTGTAAAATTTTGATAACAGCTGGCATGAACGGCTGGATTTTCGAAACGATTTTACGCTGCAGTCACGAGTGAAACTTAGAGTGGTTATTTCGAAACGAAATCAAGACATGTATTTTTTGTGAAACATTTATTCTGCGGACATACAAAAATATAAATGCACACTGCAAAACCTACAGGAAATTGGCTCAGAGGGAGATAAACTTGAAGAATATATATCAGCAGGAGAAAAGAATGTTATCATGAAGATATGACCCTCAAACCTGGGGAAGAGATTAAAATACATTTTCTTAATAGCAGTATGGAAAAGCTCTCTGGCATTGTTGCAGTTGTGCAAAAAGCTTTAACTGATGTACGTGAGGTGTACAGAGTGATCAATGAGCATGTTGGCACGAGAAGTGCAGGAGATAAGAGTAAAAATCAAAATGCTCCAGACGAGAGAAAGACAAAACAAACAAAAAAGACACGAGTACTTACAAAGCAAGCAGCGAACTTGTCACAAAGATTAGTTGTTGAGAAAGCCGCGCTACCTGCATATCATATCACACAGATGGCCAAAGTTCCATTAAGATCAAAAGCGAACATAAACATGGAAGTATAAAAAGATCTTGAGAAAAGATTCTATTTAAATGGTTTGAAGCATTTGGTAAAAACAATTATATTGGAGAAGATATATTGGAACATGCGAACACATGTATTGATAATTTGGAAGCTTCGAAGGGAGGAAATCACGTCAAAAAGAGCAGAAGACAAGCACCTACTATGCCAATAAATAGTTAGTTCCAACATTCTAAACATAGAAGTAGTACTGGCCTTTAATTTTTTTTTTAATTTTAACAAATTTTATTTGGATCGATATTCACAATTTTTAACAAACAAAAGAATATAACAGAACAAATATTACATTAAGTTAAAATAACCTAGACTAATGTAGATCCAAAAAGGTAAGGTACGAACGGGACTCTTATAAAAGGTCCCATGCAGGGCACCCACCTCCAAAATAGTAATCATGATAACAAATAGAACATCGCGAACTCAAACTCGCTAAAGGATTCAGGCAAGCAAAAAATTAAATGGAAT